ACATTGGCATGCACACGCATACGACGACAAACCAACAGCACACACACACACACACACACACACACACACACACACATTGGCGAGCGACGAGAGATGAGCACGAGCCAATCATCTCGATGGTGGATACGGAAGGGTCAAAGTCGTGCTCGTCGACATGGTGGTCCACAATGTGTGTCACAAACGGCTGCAGAAACGTCTGATGACCAGCCAGGCGATTGTGGTCCACGAGCGTCACGTCGAGACTCTGCGCAGCAGCAAACCCAGCCAGATCAACTTCGTCCCGACACACAAGATCGCCAGCGTCGATGCCAAGCTTCTCCAGAACAAATGTCACCTGAGCAACATGAACGCGCGCATATGTGTGACGTAAGACACAACGTCACAGACAAGAAGCCCAAACATGCACACACACACGCACACACACACACACACACGCGCACACACGCACACACACACACACACATACATACACACACACACACACACACACACACACATACATACACACACACACACACATACATACATGAGCAAGCGGAACAAGTGCAGTGACCTCACCTCGGTGCGAAGTGGAAGGTCAGCTCGCGAAACGTTGACGATGGGAATGATTGGCGACCCCTGGTGTAACGACAGGACACGAGCAGACGCATGAGATGTAGCCACTCTTGCTCACTTCCACAGAGCCTGCGCAAGTGAAGAGAGCGCACACAGCTTCACACAACTGGAAGCAGAGCCAGCCGTACCTCATCCGTCTGCTGGCGACGAGTGCGCACAAACGCGAGGCAGAGCGCAGATGCCACAGAGTCAAGGTCGGCAGACTCATTCCCAAGCACAACGCTGAGCTTAGTGGCGGGCGAGGCAGCAGCAAGCCAAGCCCGCGCTTTGCGCACAAACACAGGCAGTGAACTCATCGCGTTCCGTTCCGTTTGTGTTGTCTGTCAAGGTCGTTCGTTTATTGTTGAGACAGTGCGCTGAGTTTCATGTCACAAAAAGTCATGTGAGATGTGATGTTATGACACAGCCAAGATGGAAGTCACGAACAGAGCAGCAACAAGAGACAGAGACACCGGCTGTTGTGGTGTGCAGCAACAGCAGTGGCAGCAAACAGCAACCAAACAAGCACATGTACGCGCATGCAGGGCACAGGGTCAGTCAAGTGGCGGATGCGATTGCGCCTGCTGTGCGGGCGACGACGCGGTCCAGCTGCGCCTTGATCTTGGTGATGGCGGTCGTGCTTGCATGCAACGCCGCGTGCAGATTGCCAATCGCAGCCTGCCGCCGCGCCATCTCCGCCCGCCCTTCGTCCACCAGCGCAAACGATAGCGACGATGCATCAACGTCAAACGCGCTGCTCGCTGTCGCCGCCACGGCTGGCCTGCCCCGCTTCGTGCCCTGACCAGAAGAGCCACCAGCATTCACCTCTCCACGGCCGGCACTGTTGCCGTAGTTGCTGTCGTTGCTGTTGCTGTTGCTGTTGTCGTTGCTGTTGCTGTTGCTGTTGCCGTTGCCGTTGCTGTCTTTGTTGCCGCCACTGCTGTTGCTGTGTCTATTGCATCCACTGCTACCCTCGACGCGCGTGTGCGTGTCCGCGCGCCCACGAGCGCTTCCCGTGGCGGCGCGGGTGGTGGCGGCGCTGATGGCGCGCAGTTCCGCCCGCAGCCGCGCCACGTTCTCCGTCGCCTCCCGCGCAGTCGCCCGCGCAAACGCGTTGTCGTGCCGCAGCCGCGCCAGCGCATCCTCCAGCCGCTGCTGGTGGCCAGACACCTGCCGTAGTGCCGTCGTGGTGGTGAGTTGGTTGGTTGGTGGGGCAAAGGTCAGTGAAAAAAACAAATAAACAAATAAAGGAAGCGCAGGAAGAGGCAATGGGGTTGCACGCGCAGGATGAAAAACAAACACAGCCGAAACGCGCTGTACCCAACAACGTGAAGGGCGCCACACGCAAAGATGATGTGCACAACGATGCGTGCATACAAAACGCACGCACATATGATACAATACAAGCACACACACACATGATACAAGCACACGCACACACATGATACAAGCACACGCACCCAACTGCACAAAATGTTAACACACACATGAAATACACACACATGACATACACACACATGACATACACACATGACACACATGACACACCATGTCGTGCTTCTTCTGGACCAGGGCGAGCCGGTGTTCAAGCAACGCCTCCTTGTCTGCCTGCTGCCTGTCCAGCTTCGCCTTGGCCTCCTCCGTGCTGCGCAGGTGCTGTGTCGCCTCCGCGTGCGGGCCCTGCACCCGCTGTACCTCCTCCGCCATCGCCCGCAGCGCCTGATCCCGCGTCTCAAGCTGCTGCCGTCGCCGCTCCTCCCCTGCCCTCAGCTCCGCAACCTCCTTCCGCGCGT